CTTTCACAGCAATTTTTTTTTAGCTATAGCTCAGGCGTGTGGAAGGCATGACCTGAGGATAGTGCTCTTGAAACAGCCAAGCAGGGTTTCTCACGGCTTCTCAAACTTGTGTCCACTTTTTAGCCCTCTTTTCATAATTCCTAGCAGTATTTCACAGATAGTTGTATACAATCGAAGGCCTGCTATCAACCATATTTCAGTCACAGAATCCCTTTATGGTTTTTATTTATTTATTTAATGGCTAGAGGCCTGCTTTCATAAACTAAATCGATCACTCTCCATTCCCCAACATGCTGACAAATCAGAGAATCCTCTATGCTAGCTCCAGCCACATATGAGTCATGTGACATAAGGGGACCCACTATAGCCACGTCAGGCCATAATCCCCAACACTGAAAATAAACACAGAGAAGAACGAGAAAAAAAACATACACACCCACATAGTCGATGTTTAGTGGATGTGTCCTCCCAGACACCAGAGACAGACCCATGCTTCATGCACACACCAAGAGGCAGTGAAGTAAAAGAATGCAAAGCGCACATGGTGCAGCACCTGCATGAATGATTTAGTGTGGCTGGAAGAAAAACAGAAGTGCAGATCATGCTTATGCCCTGGTAAACATCAGCCTATGCAGACTGTGGGGTTGCGATCTTTATTTGCCATTTTTCCCCTAACAGTCCTTTGTCCAAAAAACACTAACTCACAGAGGCAAAGCCAAAAAAGAGAGAGATTCCAGAACCAGGCTGAACCCATTTCCATAGTATATGCAATAATGTGAAATGGTCTAGTTTAGCAGCAATGAGTGGCAGGCATACTGAATGCTAGTGGAGGAATCTGCTTTCCATCGGGCAAAGCCAGACGGATTGCCTTGCATGTAATCGTCTAGCAAATCCACCTGTCTTTGCCTTTTTTTGGGAGAGAGCAAGAGGGAGAGAGATGCTCTGCAGCCTGAAATAGATTAGCACAGCCCGTCTCTTTGTCTTACTGCGCCTGTCCACATGAATAAAACCTTCACCACAATTTACTCCACAACCTCTGCGACATGAGAAAAGTAGAAGGGTAATCATTCAAACATCCCTAAATTTACTAGCTTCCATCTCAACAATTCTTAATACTTCTATCTTAGCTTTTCACTATAACGTGCCTTTTAACTCACCAGTCTCAAGATTTATAGACTACATCTGCATCTACCTGAGTAAACTTCGCTCTGCAGAATCTCCAAGGGAACAAGTGCTTGAAATAAATCACGTTTTCCCCAGTGGATATAAGTGAAAAATAATCACACCTTTCTATTTAGACCTTTGTATACAGAAAAAAAGTCTTTGGAAAACCATCAAGTGTAATCATGCTCTTCATGAAAAAGCTGAAACATTTCCAGTAATCAACAATTCTGTACAAGCTTTTATATCGTTCTCAGGTCAAATCTTGTGTTCACAGCCTTAATTTATAATACAATTTCGTCTTCTTGTTTTAAATATTCATATGGAACATTTAAAGACCCGATATTTACACTTCTGTGAGTTGACTATGATTGGGGGCAGTATGTGCCACTTGTCTACACAAGATTTTGTGTGTGTGTGTGTGTGTGTGTGTGTGTGTGTGTGTGTGTGTGTGCATTGGTACAGTTATAGGACGTATGGGCGTGTAACAAGCTGATGTAGGAACTCTCCTGCTCCGTTGCCCATTGATCACTGCACCCTATGCCTCAATCTCTGAGGGAAGCCATTTGTCAAGGTGATAATTTGTTTTGTAGCACAGGAAATTGTACAGCAGGAGTGAGATGTTTTTGTGGCTTCTATTTCTCTCCACTTAATTCAAGAGTCGGGCAGGGTTGATTTTTAGGACTTTCTATTGAGACAATAATCTGCAGTGCATGGTTGTGGTCTGGTAGGTTTATGATTTGTTCTTTATGGCATCCATTATGGTTTAAAGTAGACACATTCTGTTTCATCTCCTTTTTCCGGGCATTTCGCTGTAAAGTACTGTCACAATGTGATCAATGATATCTCACTCACCCACCCTTGCATCAGGCATCCTCATGCAAACCTTCAGTGCCTCAAGCTTTGACACTTTTCACCAGTGCTCTAAGGATGTGAGGCAGAGTTCTCATTTGTTTTCATCATGTTGACACAGATTGACCAATTAACGCCTGCTCTGAGACTGAGACTGTAGCCCTGCTGTCCACCTGACACAAGGTCGTGGAGGTTAGGTTGCCGCAGGAAAAGTGACAGTGCTAAAGCGCTGAGCTCCCCTCAACATGTTCCACATCACATTGGACTAATTTTTCTGAAGGTCTGGAGACTGTAATAATTTAACTGCTAGAAAGTGGGAATGTGCACATGTAAGGGTAATTGTAATTGTCTATTTGCACTGAACATCAGCAACCACTCAGTAAGACACAATAACTAGATAAATATCTGCTGAACAGGGCTGGATTTTATACAATGGTGGGCTAAATTCTTTGGCTTACTCCAGAGTCAGTCCATGGTCTGTGGCTGTATGGGTTCAAGTCAGAGTTATATGGCCACATGTAAGGTCATGTTTGTGCGTGATGGACGATATTACTTCTGTGACTTATGTGTTATGAGTATGTGTGTGTGCTGTCACTCAGCCATTAGCCAGGACAGCTGTAATGAGCTTGGGTAGCTGTAGCAGTGCCAACAGAAGCTGAGAGAACTGCCTCCTAATGGGCCTGTGCAGATGCAATCAAAGCCCAACCACGGGTTTCTGAGTCATCGCTATACGTAGCCACACACACCATCCGCTATTCTACTTCATTGTCTGCATCGTTTTGAGTCATTCCAGTGAGCTTTTGTGTATTTCCGTTACATTACACAAAGAGGCCTGTTCTTTCTTTAACTTCTAGATTTTGAGATTCCCCTGATACCCCATTTTCACATGATTGATTATCTTCTACTCAGTTGACTTTCCAGTGAGGATTTCAAACAGACTCTGTGAGCGAGGTCTTTCGCTGCATTCCTGAAATGGCTTTTATCTGTCTAAGCTTTCATCTGTCTCTGCATTGTAGTGGAGGAGAGAGACAGAGACAGAGAGAGCCACGAGCGCCAATTTCACAAGCGTTAGCCCACATAAAGTTTTCACTCAGCTCCTCTGCCACCTCATCTCTCACAGCTGGGTGCCTCTGTGCTACCATCTGGACTGAGTACATTGCCCAAGGGTGGAGCAAACGAGGGTCTCACCCAGTGCCGAGCCCTACAAGCCCCCTGGCCCTTTGCCCTGCCCGTGGGCACTCTCTCATGTCCTTGAGGTAGTAACCTGATTGGGAGATTGTTGCTCCACAGCAACAGAGCTAGGCCAGTTTTGGCTTCTCACAAGCTTCTGGCCTGGAGCTTCAAACCTCACAGGACTGATACGGGATCTGTATTCATGCCGTGAGGCCTCAGTGGGCGCCTCAGCTACCTGCAATCTGGGTCAATTTACGCATTATTTTATAGCCCTTATCTCAGTGTAGGAGGATGGAGAGAAAAAGGCTTCTCACTCACAAAAATATATGAAAGCTGTTACACATAGAGCTTTCTGTAGGTCTGCTGCTTGCATACAGCAGATCATAAAAATGTTACTTCGCTAATAAACATAGCAATTCTCTCTCTCTCTCTCTCTCTCTCTCTCTCGCTTTACACAAATATTTACACCCATATAATACACTAATCTCACTGATTTTGGTACTGTTAGCCCTGTGCAAGTAAAGTTCGTAAACAAACTGACACTGCAAAACTTTTTATTAATGCTGCATAAGTAGTTTTTGACCAAAACATTCACATACACGCACACACACATACACACGCACACACATATGTACATGCACACAGTAGATAATTAACAGTAATAGATAACACTAACAACAGAATATGACACACACAGGGACAATTGTGACTGTGCTCTGCACTTTGAAGATGCTGTGGTTATGATAATGAGGAGCTGGGCACTAATGAGTACACACACACACAAACACACACGCACAAACACACACGCACAAACACGCGCGTTTTCTGACACACTTAATTGCCACTGCAGCTGCTGCTGCTTATTGGTCTGGTGATTAGTAATGTAGTTTTTGTGTAAATTACAACACTCTGTAGCTCTTAAACTAAAAGATTTGTCTTGTTCAGATGTAAAATAAGAAGCAAAACATATAATAACGTAAAATAAGAATGTATAATAAAAAATGTATATTGAAAAATCAAGAGAGAGTGCAGAGGTAAGCAGTGAGGGGGAGGCAGGAGATGGAGAACAGATAAGTGGATGAGGTGAATACAAATGGACATGAGACAACAGGGAGGGGGTGTTGCAGAGTACATTTCAGAGGAGAAATAAATGTAACTCATTAGAAGATGAAGGCAACTCAGTCATGTTCAAATTGCCATGATTTGAAACGATGAAGAGTACAGTTGACGCAGTCAGTGTTCTGCACAAAAAAAATAAAATAAAATAAAAAATAATAAAAAATATATTATTGGTTAAGGAAAAGTGTTGGGCACTATATAAGACAAGAAAGGGTGGCAAAGGTATAGCATTAAAAAGAAGGATGGGGAAGCCACGGATGACTCATGATGGAGTGAGAGATGGAGGAGTATAAATTATTTAGATCTCTTCGCCGTCACTGTGTTCTCACTTTGCAGCGAACAATGCACTTTTAAGATAAACCATGCAGGCTGACCGTAAGAGAAGTAAAACGTCCTAGAAGCAGAACCAAACGTGACCCAGCCTCGCAGCATTTTAATCGGACCCCCCTGAGACAGGTAAGTATAGTAAGGTAAGAATAGTAACCCAGACCACTAAACTGGGAAATCATGCTCCTTCACACGTCGAAAATGCCCTTCTAGATTTAAAAAGAGGTTTATCTGTCGAGCTTTGTGCTAATTTGGTCAGTGCTGCTGCTCTCTGATGTCCCGGATAGCTCCGACTCTCAAACTGCGACGGAGGTCTAACCAGAACAGGAAAAGAAAGTGCAAACACACGACGGATTTGGCCCACTTACTGAATGTTTGAGCTGTTCCAGTACACGGCATGGCGGTTATTCCCGTGGCTCAGGTGCAAGTTAGTGGAGGCGAACACGAGGAGACAGAGGGAGACCGCTGTGAGAGCCATAATATCCTCAGTTTTCTCTCTCTCTCTCAGTCCTTCTGTCCCGCGGAAACGACCAGGCTGTTTATAACATTCCGGCAACTCGTAAAATGTTTAATGCAGTCAGCGTAGCCTCGCTCCGGTCCGCCGTCGGAAGTCAAATCTGGACGTTGGTCGACTGTAATCCCCACAGTGTCACTGCTCCAGGCATCTTCACCGCCTGTTCCTCAACGCTGCAACTCCTTTACTGAGGAAAAAAGTAGCCACAACGACGCACTAAGTCACACGGAAACTGCACAAATCCTTCACAACTAACAAGAATGTGGCAAAAAACACACGTTTAAGAGCGAGGAGGATTACCGTGAGATGGAGGAGCTGCTCGTCGTTTATTTTGCTGAAGTAACAGCCGTCAGTTTGTATCTCCTCCTCAGAGTTGGAGGAGAGATTCTCTCCACGTACGCGGCATTTTCAGTTCGGTGAAGTTGTTTTGGACCGGTCCAGCACTCCTGCTGCTTTCTTTTTCGCGTTTTATTTTCTGGCTGGGATAATAAAAGTAAAAATATGTCGTTATTTCTTCTCAGATTTCCCTCCTCAGCGGTTTAAGTCGCCTCGCGCAGCCTCGCGCTCTCCTTCTCTGTGTGACGGCGCTCGCGCCTCGCAGCCACGCCCCCTCCACCCACGCTTTTTCCTCCAGTATGAGTCCCGTTTAACTCTCTACCAATCGGAAAAATAAACCCTCTGCGTTTACATGCAGGTCTGTAGCCCACAAGTCTAAACGATATCTCTGTTTTGCCTCTAAGCTCTGGATCTCCTAAAATCCACAGTGATTCTACAAGGGTGCAAAAGCATCCACTGCATCCTCAGAGTATTTGCGCCCTCAGTTGAGCTTTGTGGAAAAGCCTGCTGGAAAAAAAACAGCGCAGACCAACAGGAATGCCATGCCTAGTGCTAGTTTACCTAGTCACCTTGCATGGTCATGCCAGTTGACCAGCAGACCAGTATCCAAAACACAACATATGCTGGTTCTGATGGTGACCAAGTGTGCTGGTCTAAACTGGTTCATACTGCTCTGGTGCTGGTTTAGCAGGTGACCCAGCACTGTCAAGCATACCAGCATACAAAACACAACAAATCGCTGCTGTCAGAAGAAAACCTTGTATCTCCATTTTTGTTGTTTTTCAGTTTCTGACATAATTTGAAAATACCTGTTGTTCTTTACATTGTATGTAAATTTCATGATGAATGGACTGAAATAAATGACCAAAAATGACTTGGAAAAAGGTCTGGATCCATTGACTTACATTAAAAGTAAAGTTTGTTTTTTCCTTCTCCTGTAAAGTTACCATTTTGGAGATGCAAGGTTTTCTTCCGACAACAGCGATATGCTGATCTATGCTGGTTTTTCTAACAGGGAATGCATTTAGAGAGTCTGCACAACTCCTACTTAAGACCAGTACTGAATTAGAGTAATTCATCTACATAGCACTTATATGTCTGATAAAGCCTGAAACATCAGCGTGACCACTAAAAAACAATGTTTTCTGCAGTTAGCATACTCTGTCGTTAGCACACTGGATGTTCAATAATGTTGGGGAAACAAATCAAAGTGGCTAGTGAGCAGACTTACTGTCATAAAAATGTGCTGTTTTAAAGGGGAATTCCACTGATTATTGTGTAATTAAATCATTGACATGTAAACAACGTCATTCAGAGTGGTTTGCATTGCCAAACAAAGCACAGACCAGTATGAATTTGTGCTCGTTTGTGTGTGTCTGTTGCTGGTTTAGCTGCCCCACAAGCATGACCCATACTGGGTGACCAGCCAAACCAGGTTTTGCTGGTGACCAGCCATTCTGGTTGCTGGTTTTTCTAGCAGGGTTGATGTAAAACTGCAAATCAAAACTGTTTAATGCTACCTCACATATAGTTTTTTTATAGGTTAATGTAATACATTAATGGCATGCAGATGCATGCAGGGCAAAATAGTTCCAGGGCAAATTGTATATCACTGCTGTCAAATTAAAACCTCATTTCTTCAAAATGATAACTAATTTTGGACTTTATCTTTTGGGGAATTCGTCATGAAATTTGCATGTAACGCAAAGGGCAACAGGCTTTTTCAAATTATGTCTGAAACTGAAAAATTACAAAAATGGAGAAACAGTGATATATGTATATATCCATGTCTATCTATCTATCTATCCATATTTACAGTTACCAATTTTACATATAAAAAACGTGGCCATGTTTGTCTAAAATGCACCATTTCACATCAAAACACTCTAACAAATGGTTAACATCTCAATAATTGACTTAGGCAGAAATTTTGAAAGATCGGTTGAAGTGAATATTATTTGAATATCCCAAAGGAAAGCCATACAATAATATTGTGTTATTCATGCTAAGTACCACTCTTCCATTTTGCTCATGTTAATCTCCACAAATTAGCAATTAAAACATGGGATACTCCAGTTCATTTTTAATTTTAGGTCGTATAATCATGAACAAACAACAGGCATGCATTTCATTATATTTTTGAATAACTGCACACTTTCCTAGTCTGTACCCACTTTTATTAATAATGCTCCCTCAGTGACTTAGTGCTGGGTCTGTATTTCTCACTATGCTCGGTTAATGATATCATAATATATAGGATAACTAGTGGTGAATATACAGTCTTAATTAGCAAGGCCAGTGTTTCCCAACTCCAGTGTTACGGACCACCTAGGTGACACGTTCTGTGTTTTCCCTGCACCTGAATCATATCATTAGCTAATGATGAAGTCCTTGAGCTACATCAGGCATTAGAGCAGGTAAAAAACAGAACCATGCAGTACAGGTGACGACTCCAGAAATAATGATTGGAATCGCTGGTGTAGACAACAATGCTCTACTATAGTTATTGTAGTGATGTGAGTAGTTGCCTAGGATTAATGCAATGCACTTACACCAGTACATTCACACTTTTGAAGTCTCCCTCCGAACTCTCCCGTTCCCCACTCTTACTCTCATGCGTTTTCGCTCCTTCGCTCCATTTTAGTCTCTGTTGTTTTTGTCAGTGATGCTGTCTCTCTTGTGTCCCCTCCAGGCATGTTGCTGTGGTGACAGGGGTAAAGGGGGGGGATGAAAAGGAGAGAGAGGAGAGAGAGAAAAAGGGAGAGAACCATCACTTCTCCCAGATGCTGTGTCTACCGTCCTTGTTCTTGTCAGGATTTACTATGCCATGTCACCTGCCACTGCTGCCAATCATGTTCTCTTTCTCTTTTCTGTGTGTGAAAATGAAAGTGTCTTGTTTTTTTTCTTCAGACCATTTTCTTTCATTCCCCTCTTGTTTCTCACTGAGGGTTTCTCTAAACTTCTTAGCGTTGTATGAAGTTGTTGGCTACATGCATTAAAAAGAAGCACAGTGTGTGTTCTTTTTCCTCTTCGGTGAGTCGTGTGTCTGGGGTGTTCATGTGCATGTGTGAAGCATCAGTGGTTTCTTATATGTCATCCATAATCAGATGCATTGGGGTCTGATTTTGAATGATGGCAAGGTGCTTACGTGTACGTTGTAGCTGAGCTCGTTGCTAGGCAGCGGGAGACATTAGTAAAACTAGGCTGTTTCTGTTTGTTTTCTCGTGTGGGCTGTGATTAATTCATGAGTAGTTCTAGTATGGGCACATTGATTATCCAGATAATCCATTATCATTAATCTAACTCATTGCAGCTCTGTATCCTGGTCTAATTTTTAAATTGCTTTCCCTGAGGTTTTAATTTGCTGGAGGTGAGGGTGGACAATGTGTACTCACATTTTTATCATGATGTTTTACACTATTTCGACAATATCAACATAACTATATTTTAATATTTGTTGTTGTTTTTGTAAGTGTGTAGATCTCTGACCCCACAATCGATTATGATTCCAGGAAAGGATTTAATGCATTGTTAAATCTAAAATAAACCCTTTGGCTGGCTTTACACAATGAAAATTTCAACCAACGTTGAAACTGCCATAGTTTCACTTGCTTCACTTGAGTTGCATATTGCAAAACCTCCTGAAACTGCAACTGTCTCAATTTCATGAAACATGTCAAAATGCCGATAACACGTCATGCAATCATATTTATGGATTCAGTAGAGAGGAAAATAAAACAGAAGCTGGTTATTAGCTAGTTGAAAAGGAGACCACTTGACTAGCTTTATGCAAGGTTGGTAGTTTTTCATTTGAGCCATGACAAACAAAAAAACAAACACGAATTTCTCAAAACGAATGTTTTTGTAACCAGCTGGATTGTGGAACCAGCTATCAGTAACAGCTGTTTAAACAGAAGAACACCTTGTGAACCGTTAAGTATGTGGGTGGATCTATTATGCTTTGGGGTTGTGTAACAACCAGTGGCACAGAATACATTGCATGGCGAGATATTCCACTAAATATCAACAAATTGTAGAAGCAATTGTGATAAAGTCAAGAAACTGAAGCTGAAAAAAGTCTTCTGCAAAAGTACAGTAATGCAAAACATCTCAAAATCCACCATGAACTACTTCAAAAACACAAGCTGAAGCTTTTACAGTCCCCTGGCTTAAGCAAAATGGAAAATCTGTGGGTACATCTTAAATATGCTGTGCATGCAAAATGGCCTAAAAAAAAAACAAAAAAAAAACCTATAATCATAGCTGGCTACAAAAATTATTTGCAAGCTGTCTAAACTTTTGCACATCACTATTTTATTTTTTCTTGTTTTAAGTTGGAAATATAAACATACAAATATAAAAACATAAAGTGATTAGTGCATTAGTGCATAAAGTACATTAACATTTGCAGATAATTGTTCATTTTCAAAATAGTTTGCTGCAGAAGTTTTGTTTACTTCAAAAATCGACAATTTGTGCATGAATTTTCTGAATAGCTTTCTGGAAATTATGTTGTATGCAAATCACAACATGCGTCAGAGTTTCACTGTGTAAAGCCAGACTTAGTTTCTGGCCTTGTCACAGTATTCACAATATAGTAAAATCTATATCATCTGTATTATATGACAGCATCACACCAGTATTCACTTTATGTATTGTACCAGTCCACATCCCACCCTTAATCATACCAAGATGAGATACTCTGTATTTTTGTGTTTAATCACTTATTGCTCCTCACCATCTATCCCTCTTGGCTTGCATCTTTTGTCTTTCTGCTCTCCTCATTCATCTATCTACCCATCTGCCATGTATCTGTCATCTAACCGTCCTTCTGTCCATTAATCTTAGTCTTAACTACACCTATATTTTCAGATCCCAACCTCCTCACTCATTCACTCATTACTGCACATATATATCATTCTCTGAGTCAGACAGATCAGTTATTGAACCATCTTAGATACACTGTTATTTATAACAATTTATACTGTGACTTTTTCCTTAAGAAATGCTGCAGATAGCAACTGGTGTGAGACGTTGTAAAGATGTTTATGTCAGACTATTGCTCTGACTCACCCAGCAACAGACATTGTTTTGTTGTTTTGTTCTTCATTTGTTCTCACTTTCATAACATGTGAACCTTCTGCCGTTGGCTGACAATTCACTGTTAGCATGCAGTCCCATCAAGAGACAATATAAACAATTATTTGACTCAGTCCAGTAGAAACACTGCCAGGATTGGTCAAAA